TGAGAGTATTAAGGGTACAATGAGGAAAGCCTGAGTGAAATTTCATGGGCCGTGAACATGCGGTGACGACTTAAGCAAACGCTGGGTGTGCCCCTCCAGGTGTGCTGTCCTGTACACCTACAAACCCCGACGACCGGAGGAACTGGAGCTGAGGAAAGGAGAGATGGTGGGCGTGTACGGGAAGTTCAAAGATGGCTGGCTGCGTGGGCTGTCGCTCCGCACGGGGAAAGTGGGCATTCTTCCTAGCAACTACATCACCCCCGTGCTCAGGTGAGAGGCTGCATCTGTGTACGTGCTCGGAGGCTTTCAGTCACGCATACGTTTCAGAAATGTGGTCAAACTCAATGGAACTCAAAGCCCAAATAAATAAATAAGAGAGACAATTTTAAGATCTCTCTAAATTATTTATAGGACTTGATGCACAGCTTATTAGAACCAAAAACCTCTTTTGAATTTTATGTGAAGAACTAACAAAGTAATGCCAAATTGTGACACGAGTGGAAAAGAATTCATGGTTTTCAAGATATTTTCCAAAGAAGTTGTTTGTTTGTTTGTTCTCATGAGTCAGTGCTTTGTGGAACCACCTTCCACTGCGATCCCTGCTGCATACCTATCAGGGTGTGCCTCAGCTTGGTCAAATCGGATGCAGAGGCTCTGTGAATATCACGTTTCAACTCTTACCGCGGCATCTTGGTTGGAAGTAGTTCTGGACTTTGACTGGGCCGTTTCCAAACATGAATAGGACTTGATTTGATCTAAACCCTTCTATTGTAGCGATTTATTTAAGGCCATTGTTCCCTGTTGGAAGCAGCATTATATTATGTATGAATTTATTTAAATAAACCTGCTTGACTTGCCTTGAGCTGCAGATGTCTGCAGGGCCTCTCCGTTGTTTCTCTGATGAATGCTTTCCTTTATCATCATGTTAGTTTAGGGATTCATAATGCTATTGGTGCATTAATGCTCTACAGAAAATCTCATAGAAAAGATGGATATATCCTAAAGTTAAATTGTGATTTTGATATCCTTGTGATATATGTATTCAATTATTTTATTAGCGGATTTCAGAGCAATGCATTGCTTTGTGCTGGTCCACCACATCATGTTAAAATCACTCTCAGACGCAGCGTTAGTGTTTGTGGTTAAAGTGTGAAAAAAAATGTGAGACTACTCCTGAAAAGTAAAGTGCTGTTTTCAAAATGACACATGCTTTTTGTTACAGAACCTCAGCCAGACTTTTGGAGACCAAAGCAGCTAACGCGTCCTCGCATTACAGCACAGTGTCTGGGAAGAAACCCACCGCTGCAAAACATCCCACTGTGGTCCTTGCTCTCGACAAGGTGGGCGGTGATGGAACGAAATTCTCAACAGGACAGGTGTCATCTGTGCCAAATGGAGCGCAGCACGCCGCGTCCTCCGGCGGAGCTGCCAAGCCGTCCTTTTACGGGACGTCTCAAGGTTGGGACACCGTGAGACGTGTTTTCAACCCCCACAGAGGTCAGTGAGAAATAAGTTTCCAACAATTGGGCCTGCTTTATCTTGGTCCAGCAGTTGTGAAACAAAAATGCACTCTTTATGTTTTGTTTCAGCCTCACAACGTCCCACCCATGTGTCCTCTTACAACATCCCGTCCAACACGCAACCTTTCGCACAAGTTCAGGCGTCGGGCTACTCGCCTGCCCTGCAGAGAAAGAGAAACAGCAGCTTCCCGTTCTCCAACCCCAAACCTTACGGCTGGATGACTGAGCCAGCAGCGCTCTCTGCTGGTGCTGTCCTGAAGGACAGGGACTGTGGAGCCTCACACGAAGCAGTATTTCATCATCACAGGCAGCCTGCTGCAAACGCACCTCAGTCGATTTTAGTCAGACCTGACGCACAGAAAAGCAGCATAGACAAGGTAATGTCAGATTCACGTTTGCCTTCGTTTTCAAGTTCTCAGGCTTTTGGGTAGGTTGAATGTTTCTTTGCATTTTCCAAAGCCTCCAAAATCAGTTCGGTTCCTGACGGATGAAGAGTCTCCTCCTCCGAGACATCGGACCTCCTCCTGGTCGTCTGGGTCTCAGGTTCATCCAAACTGTCGTCCCGGGCCCCTGCCTTTAGAAGTGTGGGCCCCTTCTCTCACCATGGGGAGAGACGGACCGGGGATCCTCCTCAAAGACGGGAAAGGTTCGGTTCTTAGGAAGGGCTTTGAAACGGCCATTTCCGATCCAAATTCTAACCCGCAGAAACCATTCCACTCACAGCCGTCGCTGTCAGCTTTGTCGGCTCAGTTCAGCCCCGTCAGGTAAACTTCGCTTTGGAGTCCTCACTCACCCGAGGAGAGGCGGACCTGAGCAATCGCTCATCTATTTTGTTTGAAATGTTTTGTTTTCCAGGCACAGAGTGACCACAACGCATTTAGCCCAGACGGACTCGGAGCTCAGTCTGCTGCAAGGAGAGGCGGTCCTCGTCCACAGACCTCGGCCTGACGGACGGGTCCTCCTCACGCAGGAGAGCAGCGGACAAACAGGCATTTTCCACAACACTATTCTCCAAGTCCTTGAGAGGCTCAGCTGACTGTGTATTACTGCTAAATTGATGGATACTTCTGTTAGGGATGCACCGATTGCAGTTTTCTGGCTGATTATGATCTTTAGAAAGTCCCAATTTTGGCCGATACCAATTTCTTTTGTCTGAGGTGTTGCTAAGCATAGCATGAAAGTCGCTGAGTTGGCAACAGTGGGGTGACTATTGTTAACTGCAAACGTGCAGACGTGACCTGGTGGGCCGGTCTGTCAGTCAAACCTCTCTGACAGCGGAGCAGAAGAGAACAGTGACTGATTTTAAAACCTTTGCTGACGTAGATAAGATCGGGGGATAAGATGTGTTTCACATGTAAGTATCAGTCAATCACCAATCTCCCAAAAATAAGGAAATCGACCGAGATAAATCAGCTGGCCGATAAATTGGTACACCCCTAATTTCTGTCATATCAGTTTGAACTGCCAAATAACTTAATAGATCAACTCAACAAAACGAGTGTTTATGTCCAAAAACCAGTCCTGCCACACGACAATCAAATAACAGGTTTTTACTTTGGACCTGAGTGGATGTGAGAGCGTGGGTAAAGTCTTCAGAGATGTATTTTGCATCCTATAATGTGTGCGCATGTTTGTAACACGTGGTATTATTCGAGTTTTGCACTAAAAACCCACTTCAGGTTCCTTGCTTCATCTGTTACACAATGGTGAGTGCCTTTGTCAAAACCCACCAAGAAAACATATTATATTTGTACATACTTAGAGAGATTAGGTAAATTATCTGTACTGCTTTTGTGTTAATAAAGTATAGTTCCAGAACCTGTAACAGTTTGGCTTTTTCTTCTATAACCCAACCTTCCTTTAGGCCACATTAATAAACCTGTAAATATTTTTTCATTCCAGTATTGCGGCTGGAAAGCTGTGACTGAATTTGCCTCAATTGAGACCAAAGTGAAAGTAAAGGAGTGTAGAAGAACCAAACGCTGGTCGAGAAAACTAAATTCCTAAACTGGGACCATTAGGACATTTTTAAAGTTATCATACCTTATGTACAGGATTTACAACCTTATTGACTGTTTCTGGCAGGCTGTCGCCTGGACTCTTCACCAACAAATCCTGCTGATTATTTCATAGATGAAATTCTAAGAGTAAGACCTGTGTGGCCTCGGTAATAATTTGTTCACGTAGATTAATTTTGAACCATTGAACTATCCATCTCATGTCAGTTTCACAGAAACTAATCACGACTTAAAAACTGCAACCTGTTGTCTAGACATGGTGCCCACAAGTTCTTTTTTTTTCTTTCCTTTTTTTTATCTCTTGTTGTTTTATCTCTTTGTTTTGCCTCTGAAATATTACAGATTTCAAAGATAATAAATGTATTTTAAGGAAATCAGATGCCTCTGTAATCTCACCTATAGCATTTTTACAAATCGAATTTAAAAGTGAATCTGTTTACTCCTTTTTCAGTCAGGATTTCAACCACAGCACACACACTGATGCATCAAAAACGTCTTAGTTTTACTGGATCTAAGTGTTGCCTTTGATGCATTTAAACATAACATACTGAATGATAAATAGACCGTGCTCAATACGTTCCGATCTCAGCTGGTAGGAAGGGACTAATTTGTCATTTTCTGATTATAAATCAGAGAAAACCTTAAAGTACTATTATGTCTCATAACATATATGTTGATGACAACTTTTTATTACTGTAAGCACATGACAACAGTTCAGCACAGATACTTAAACAGTGCATCCATAGTAACCATGACAAATCTAAATTTCCCACTGCTTAATTCAAGAAAGGCAGAAGTTATTATTTTAAGTACCATAAAATTGCAAGGTTAGAAGTCAAAGCTCAGCAGCAATCAAGGAGGCAAATCGCCACAGTCCATGTACGGCAACTTTGGAGAAGACTAACTACAGCTCCATTAGTCAGAACAAAGATGGGTTTTTTTTTTTTAAATTACAGCAGCAGCACTAATAATTGCGTCTCTAGTCATTTTGTTTGTTTTTAGCATGGAGTTATCAATAGTACCTATCAATATTCAAACTAAAGGTAGGTTTTTTCTGGAATATTAAACAAAAGGGATCTATTTTTTTTTTTTTTTTTGTCCTCGTTGGGTTTCAAGGCCAAATAAAAATTAAGTTTTTGAGAGCTAGATAATGAGAAATTAACTTATAGCATTTTACATATAGGCTATGGAAGGTACTGGATACAGCGTAAGGAGCCAATACATTTGTTACATTGACTCCTACAATACGAAAAAAATATATATTATAAAATATCTTTTAGTCAGATATTATGCTGACTAATAGCTCAGAGTGCTCGTTTTTGTTATTAAAATAGCAGTTCTATGGTTTAATAAACTGTAGAGTTACCAAATGAACTTATGCAAAATAGGGCTAATAGATATTACTGTATGAAAATTGATCCATTATACTGGCCAGTCGAAACCAGTGGATACGCATGCGCACACCGACTCAGACTGGAGCTGACAAGCCAACGGCCATGAGCTGCTGATGAGAATCACAACATCGCTGGTGCACAAATTCAGCGAGCAGTAACCCAAAATCAAATGAACAGATCACTCCAAGCGTCTAGAAGCCTCCATATATAATACATTCCACTTCCTCACTATGCCGGTAAGTCGCCACGCCTTTTTGTATGTTTTTTTTTGTTTTGTTTTGTTCGTAAGTAGGGTTCCTCCCTTCTTCTGTTGATGTGATGCTAACCCCACTTAGCATCATTAGCATATCAGTTACCGTAGCTGTTGCAGGATAGAGAGATATGGTAAAGGCCTCTGACAACTGTCCGTTTCCTTTTAATGTTTTATGTACTACTGGGTGTATTTTATCACAATAGCTTTTAGTTTACGTTCGCTTCTTCCATGTAAGTGAACATTGCAGTTATTATTAGCCAGCCAGCTACGGTCAAAGCAGAGACCTTAACGTCGTTACCTAGCAACATCTTATAACATTTTGACCCATAAAGGGTTAATTAAAACCACTCAGCTCTGATTGATTTATGCATTTATTGTGTCTGCTTTAGACTCCGTGTTCTGTTATGGGGTGTTTATGAGACGGTAAATTGCGTCTGTACATACAGATGTAATTGCAACCCTGATAAAAACGCGTTAAAAGCTGTAAAATCTTTCATTTTAGCAGAATAGTCTCGCAGTGAAAATTGTAGTAATCCAACCTTTAATTTAAATATACAACTTATTTGCGGACTAAAATCACATGCCATAATTGCTATAACAAAATCAGTACACAGATATTGTCAATGCAACAATCCTTTGCCAATGGAGCAGCACTTCTCTTGTTACGTTTCACTGAACTGGAGCAAACAGAGAGAGGGATTTTTTACCATTTCTCCTTGGAGTCTGTTCCAGCACACACGAATCAAATGAATAATTAATTACCAGGCCTCTGTAGAATTTGCTGAGGTTTGTCCTTTCCATTTGATTCATGTGTGTGGTAGCAAATCCATCTGAAAGTTGCAGGAAAGCAACTAAGACCAATGATGGAGACCCCTGGCCTTGTCTAGACTGTCCAGAATCCTGGCTCCTCTCTTTCACTTATCTAAGACATTGGGTTTTCTGTAGGATGTAAGTATAGGGGCTGATATTGATATATTGTGTTAATTTAGCTTTATGTTTTGGAACAAGGATCTGAAAATCAGCCACTGTTTCCTTTTGTTTGTTCATGAGAGAGGATTGGCTAATATTTTAATTAGTTTGATGTTCTGAAGCATTTAAGTGTGGCAAACATGCAAAAAAAAAAAAAAAGGAAATCAAGAGGGGCAACCACTTTTTCTCACCACTATTTTTCCACAATACTTTTTCTGCATAACTTCATTAGGGATGTCAAAAATGATCCCGTGTGTGCATGTAGCATATCCCATGTTTTTTGTCAGCTATGCCCATAAGTCCAAGTATTTCTTATTTTTATCCATTTCAGAGCAGTAAGGCTGAGAAACCGGAAGTCAGCGATAATGTCAAAGTCGTGGTAAGATGTCGTCCCCTCAACCAGAAGGAGAAGATGATGGCCTACAAGCCGGCCGTCATCGTGGACGAGATCCGTGGTACCATAACGGTGAACAAACTGGAGACCCCCCACGAACCTCCTAAGACATTCACCTTTGACACTGTGTTTGGGCCTGACAGCAAGCAGCTAGATGTCTACAACCTCACAGCCCGCCCAATCATCGATTCCGTTTTAGAGGGATATAACGGTGCAGTTGTTGTCCTTAAAGAAACGATTTGTTTAATCAGCTCTGTTAAAGCATTGAAATAGTTAACTTTCAGTCGTTGCAGGGGCTACTGTAGTGTGGCTTATAACAAGCACATAACAGTACTCCCAAAAGACCTTGTACTTAATACTTTGTCATTTTCAATTTTCGTCAATCCATATTATTAGGAATGATGGAATTATATTCTTTGATTCCCACATCCAGGCACAATTTTTGCATATGGGCAAACTGGCACAGGAAAAACCTTCACCATGGAGGGGGTGAGGGCGGTACCAGAGCTTCGAGGGATTATTCCAAATTCTTTTGCTCATATTTTTGGACACATTGCCAAGGCAGAGGGCGACACAAGGTATGAAATCAGACTGTAGACAACGTTTTATTATATCCCTTTACATTCTGTAACATTACAATCACAAACATGGTTTTATTTTATGTGATAAAGTTCTGCATATTTATCAAACTTCAAAAAAAAAAAAAAAAAAGAAACACGGGTTTTAAGGTTGTGTCACGCCTTCTGCCCAGTGACTGCTACACAGTGTTTTGAATTTACACCATAAATTAAACTTTGGTGTCATTTGATCAGACGTTCTTCCTTCACATGTTTGAGGTGTTTTCTGTGAGACAAACTGCAAATAGTTTTTTTAATATATATCTTTCTTTCTTACATTATTCTTATCACTTTTCTATAAAGGCCATACTCGCTCCTTTTTATTGTACATTTAATGAAGTAAGTATGCTATTTACCTCATTGCATACTTACCAATGAGGTAAATAGTCAATCTGAGCGTGATAGCTGCAGTTTACAAAATATGCAATGCACTCTTTTATTTTTTGTAAAAAACAAAACAAAACAAAAAAAACCACCATGAAAATAACAATACAGAGCAAGTAGTGCCGCATTTCTTTCCACTTTATTTATACACTGTTTTGTGATGGTCTGTCACATAAAATCCCTGCAAAATACATTGAAGTTTTACTTAACAAGATGCTAAAATAAAGATGTTCAAAAGCATATTAATGCTTCTGCCAGATACTCTTGGGAAACAAACCTTAAAGCGTAATATAAACATGAACAGGAAACAGGAAATGCTGCTTGCAGAAACTAGGATAGGCATTGGTGTCTTTTCTTGTGAACACTGGTTCACCCAAACTACATGATAGAGCTGAGCTAGGATTTTTTTTTTCTTCTTTTTTTTTTGACATAGGTGAACATTTCATATCCTTAGTGTGGTCTACCCTCTTTTTAGATTGCAGCTGATAAACAGAGCTTTTCACTGGTAGATTAACAGCTTTGATAGTCATTTTGGAAATATGACACAACTAAGTGACTGGCAAGTTTTACTAACCAATACCATGGAATTGAATCTATTTCTCGTAACTGTACTTAAAGTTGTAAAGTGTGTGACGTGGTTTTGTTTCTGAACAGCTGTGTCGTATTAGCATCGCATAAGCATGAAGCTCTCCTGTTGCTAAGCTCTGAACATAATTTATCCTACTTACTAGTTATAGTTAAACATATGTCGTTCTCTGGATGAGCTCAGGAGAAGTAATTTTACCCACATACTTATTAAATCCTACTAAAGAAATATACAATGACTTGTCGTAATCGAAGCTAATTTGGTGATCAGTTTCCTTTATATATTCCTGTAATTGGCTTGTTTGTATTTTTTACCCTAATCTAGATTGTGGGAGCAAAGTGAAAGCCAAAGGTGTAAATCCCATCTCATTATTGGGGGGGACCATACACGGACATATTTTTAAGAGCAATTTTTAGGGGGGTCGGCAAAATTACAGTCAAATGTAACGTAAAATGTGGTTTAATTTTTTTTTTTTTTTATTGTGTTCAAGCTGCACCACCAAAAATGACTAGTAAGAAGCAATGAATAACAACCTGTTGAGACCCATAGAAGTCAAACTAAGATTCAAATGTTGCTTAGATCTGAGTTTGGTTCAGAGTCACCGATCTAATTTCTGCTACACCTTTACAAAATTTTAAGGCTCTAAATAAAAACAAGTTTTAATAAGTAACTCCACTTAATAAAATTTTTCATAAATATCGATTTATTGCAGTGGTTCTCAATACAAATCATGTATTATTTAAATTATAACTTAAGTTGCTTTAAACTTTTATTTTTTGGGGGGGGATAAGGAGGTTTAATTTCCTGGATGGCTGAGAACCTATAAATATGTAGGAATTGAATATCTGGGAAGAAGCATAACTTAAACTTAAAGGTCAGCACCAGAGTTTTCTAGAAAAATATTCATTTTATTTTGTGGTTTTAAAGGCTCTACGTTGAAGATGGAAAGAAATAAAGGCATACTTTATATTTTTTTTACTGTCAGCTGCAGGAGCCCCTCTGCTCTCAGCTTCCATACAGAGCTGTCGGCTAGTGCTAACGCTCAGCTGCCCCCTCCCATTTCAAACTCTTCTTATTAAAGTAAGAGTTAGAGAGCTAAATATTGAAATATTGGCTACCTTTGACAGAAAAAGGAGCTAAGTCTATGAAAACAATGTATCAGTTTAGCTAGTTTTGATTTCCAACGCATAAGGTGGCAGTTTATCATGATTCAGCTGAAATAATGAACTTTGTTCTGATTTTTATTGTTAATGTGTTTCTTCCTATTGAGCAGTGAAAGTTAATAAAACGTGTTACATGTCTTTTGGTTAAATATTTACTTACTGGAGGGTTTTTTGTTAGTGCTGCAGAGCCACAGCTAACAGCTAGCTCCTCACTTCAGCGGCTCTAACGGAGCCTGTGTCATTCAGCAGCGCAGCTGTTGCTCCTCCTTCACTTTTTACTGAACCATTGTTCTAACAATAGGGGGCGGGGGGAACCTACAAATTAATTCTTATTTTCTTCTTAGATAAATGGCGGATTTACTTTGTTCTTCGTTTCTATTGCCTTTTTTTATATTGATATTGTTTAAATACAAGGGTTTCTTTCATGATTTCTTTGGTTGAGGCAATTCTAGACTTTTCCAAGATTGGGGGGGTCCGGACCCCCGACCCCCCGGGATATACACCTACGGTGAAAGCATTTATATACACACGGCTCTTTGAAAGGTTTCAACTGTGTATATTCCTACATCAGCCTTTTTAAAATGTAATTAGTTCTATGTTTGTCTTTGACAGGTTTTTAGTTCGTGTTTCGTACCTGGAGATTTACAATGAGGAAGTGCGGGATTTGCTGGGCAAGGACCAGTTGCAAAGGCTTGAGGTAATGGGACATATACATTTTGCAATCAATTATAAAGGTTTTGCACAACGAGTTGTCTTAAAAGTCGCGGTTGTCATTTGTCTTTGCTAAACTCTAAATTTGGACTTGCAACTGTTGCAACTTTCAATGATAAAGATCTTTTTTTTTTTGTAGGTCAAAGAAAGACCTGATGTTGGCGTGTACATCAAAGATCTCTCTGGTTATGTTGTAAATAATGCTGACGACATGGACAGGATTATGACTCTCGGTCACAAAAATCGTAAGCACAACCACTGAATTGATAAGGAATCATGACAGCAACAGATCAAGCATGAAACACATATAACTGACTATCAACTCTTGTTTCTATGAGAAATTCTGCTGTTGTCTGAGGTTCACATGCACCTCGACTGGGCACAGATGTTATAATACATTTGGGGTTTGAATGGATTATTTGAATTATTTTTCTCGGGTGGGATAATGCAACTGCATAAAGGCTCAATGATGGTATCTGGCTGGATATTGGATAATTTTTTCCAGATAAAATTGATAGAGTTCCATTAAACTGGTTTGTTTGCTGAAACTGACCCAACTTTCAAGCCTAGTTCTTGCATTTTCTATACAGTTAAAGCCTGATTCCGGTAAGGCTATTCCAGAAATGTAAAGTTAGCCATCTTTATCCATGCCAAGACCAGTTTCAAGGTATGATTATTGTGTTGGAGCACCTAGCAGTATCCGCGTTTTAACCATGACATCCAGACTGTCACCCTCATACGTCGAATGTGGACATTTTTTTTCTTCTTGTTCACACTGTTGTGGTTAACATTTCACATGTTTTTGTAAAGACATGAATGAATGCAGAGAGTTTTGTTCAGACCTCCACTATCTCTCCCTGCAGCTAATGCTGAGTCTGTTAGCTTATAGCAGTGTGTGTTTGGTTTTTAGATTTGTTTGCCTGTTTCACTTACTAGCTTGACTTTTTTGCCTGAAGTATTCCGGCATTCTTCTGGCCAATATATTGATTATTGTGCAAATCCATCAAGATGATCAATACTATTTTAATTTTGTTTAAATATTTAACATATGCAAAACGTTATTACAGACTAAAAGTAACACTAACAGAGAAGCCATCAACTTTTTTTATTAGTAGTATTAGTATTCGTCTATAGTCGTATAATATCATGTTAATAATATAAATTTTTTATTTGCTGTGTTGACACATACCAAATCCAGTTATTGAATTGCTTCAGGCAAAACTTTATTTTTATCACATATGGGGGGACAGGAGTGACCCCTACTAAACAAGCATGGTGTTCAGAATTTCATGCTATGCTCCAGCACATAACTTTCTTTAAACCTTTACTATGACTTGAAATATTTCGAAGCTCATTGAAAATAGCCTCCATGATTTTTCTCTTTGTGCACACAGCAGTCGTGGTGCAGGAGGGATTGTGTGTTTATTCTTCTGACTGTCATCAAAATGAAAGTCTGTTGCTTGTAGTGAAAAATGCTAAGGCGGCATTATGTGAAATGCACTGCAGACCCAGGCTTCTGTTTGTTAAGTCAGTGTGCATAAGGCGTTGAACTCCTGGTAATCCTTCCCCGCTGTAACAAAAAAAATCCTGTTTTGCACGCACGACTTTGTTGATGTCATTTTACAGAGAATTTACTGCCTCTGACATATGACATATATGAATTTGGCTCATCCAGGAAGTGTTGCAGTTCAATTTTTAAATTACACATACAGACTTCCTGTGTCAATTAGAAAATAGTATATCAATAACACTTTTTGTACACAAACCTCAGTTTATAATAATAGTTTTGGGATAGTCTCAAGACATTTTTCACACCACGATCAGTTGCAACATAATGATGTCTATTTTTTTTTTATTTTTTTTTTACCGTATGTCACATCTGCTCAGGAAATGGAAAAAAAATTAAAGATAAAATGTGACATTTTTGTTGGATGTTGCAACGATATTACTCATGATAAATCTCACCCTTCTCTTTCTTACCGTAAAGTGATGTGTCCAATGCTCTGAAGTTTATTGAGCACTTTGCAGTGAGTTTTAATCCAACATACTTTACATGTTTTTGTATTCAAATGATGAATTCATGATCTTGGAATATAATAGACATCACCAGTCATCACATACATGTTTGGTGAAAAAGTGGCTTTCAGATTTATGAACACTGTACCATTGTCATTAATAGTGGTGGTAGCGTTATGCCGAGCTTCTGCTTTGCTGCCAGCGGTACTATTGAATTGCACAAAAAGGTTGAGATATTGGAGGAGCACTACACAGTACTTTCAGTGTTAAATGTCAAGTTTAAATTGATCTTTTTCTCTTTTTATTTTGGTGCAGGATCCGTCGGTGCTACAAACATGAATGAGCACAGCTCCCGCTCTCATGCCATCTTCACCATCACCATCGAGTGCAGTGAGAAGGGTGTGGATGGTAACCAGCATGTGCGCATGGGAAAGCTTCATCTTGTAGATCTGGCAGTAAGTATGAATAATAAAAGCTGCTTCTTTTTAAACTTGAACGAATACTTCTAAGTAAGCCTCGCTGCACGTGTTCTGCACAATCTCCGCCAACTGCCGCTTATTCTCAACAAACACAGGGCTCAGAAAGACAGGGCAAAACCGGAGCCACAGGCCAGCGTTTGAAGGAAGCAACGAAGATCAATCTGTCCCTCTCCACCCTGGGTAACGTTATCTCCGCCCTGGTGGACGGCAAGAGCACTCACGTCCCGTACAGAAACTCCAAACTGACCCGTTTGCTTCAGGATTCACTGGGAGGAAACTCCAAGACCATGATGGTACAGCTTCAGTTTGAACACAATATTAGGAGCCTTTTTTAAAATGCCATGTCTCACGTGGATTAATTGTTAGGCTGTGTTACGGTATTCTGATAAGGCTTTTGTGTCGGATTTAAAAGTACTATTTGAAAAAAATAAAACAACCTTTAAGCAAGTTGTTCTTTTACAGATATTAAAGGCACATTTCTGTATTGCATTTCTTTGATGTGATATTCTAATTTTATATGTATGGTTTTCAATAGTTGTCAGGGTAAAGTCGTTATACCTGTATCTATCTTAAAATTTTACCCAACATACCTTTCCCTACCAGTGTGCAAATATAGGTCCTGCAGACTACAACTATGACGAGACCATCAGTACCTTGCGCTATGCTAACAGGGCTAAAAACATCAAAAACAAAGCCAGAATCAACGAAGATCCCAAGGACGCCCTTCTACGGCAGTTTCAGAAAGAGATCGAGGAGCTCAAAAAGAAACTGGAAGAGGGTAAGGAGCTAAATAATAAAAATATATATATATAACATGCAACATGCGTGTTTTCTTCAGAGACTAAAATGTTGTTGTTGTTGTTGTTGTTTGTGCAACACTAGGGGAAGAGATTTCTGGGTCAGAAGGCAGCGGATCAGAGGAGATGGACGAAGGGGACGATGATGCAGGAGAGGCAGGAGAAGGCCGACGGAGGAAGAGGGGTAAGAGTTGATCATTAATGAGCACAGATTGTGGAAAAAGTTAGACCACCCACATTTTGGTGTGACTAAAACAAAATCTTGTCTTGCAGTTCAGTGTGCGGTTTTAGCACAAGAGCAGATAACCATCTACATGATTTGCATGTAGCTTGTTTGATCCGTCGACAGCGTTTAATGCTAAGCAATTATTCAGCTCCTAAGATCTGAATCAAGTCGAAGTTGTTTTGCAAGGCATGACTAAACCTGCATTTAACCTTGTAGTTTGCTCATTTAGGAGTTCCCCCCGGTATTCTCAACATGTACCTACTGTGAGTGGTGTGAAAAAAGAACGAGAATCATTTTGTCGTTGCAATAGAATTCCAGCTAGTTAGTTTATTTTTATTTTTAGATTTCTTTGTGATTTCAGTTTTAAGTTGTTTCTCTGAGCTTATCTGGTCTGTTGAGTTAGCAGTTTGCATGCCTGTGCCTCCAGCTTTTTCACTTGCAAATTATTTTCGCCTTGTTTTTCTGTTCTTAAACTTGTAATCACATTTTCCTACAACTGTTTATGGTTTATCTTTCTGTCATGTTTCTGTCTTTGGGCTTTGGGACTTCTTCTGCTTCTTTTTCAGACAGTTGTGATATCAGCAGAAGTAATAGTTCAGAATTTACCGACACTTCCTCAGTGCCGCCACCCACTGACGCCGACCTGCGGGATAGTGAGTTGGAGTAGCCCTCTGCTCACCAACCAGCCTGCCCACAAATTACAGCCCTTTTCACACATGAGCACAGAAATTTTAAGCTTTTAATATATTCAATCCAATGTGATATTTTTGCTGCTGTGACTACACAATCATTTGCATGTTTTATTTTATTTCTTTTTTCTTTGTGCCTATTACTTTTCCTGACTTATATGGCTGTTTTCTCAAGGAGAAGAAAATAAAATATAAATATATTAATATGCTCCTTGGAGTAAAAATTTCTAGAAAGCTGAGTTTTGCAGCATGGCAGCTGCTTAAAGATCTTTTGGGAAGTTTAGCATATTCAATCCCTTAAATCTGTAGACAGCAATCCCTTAAATCCAGTCAAAGTTGTCATATATGTGACCTATACTTTTACGTTATTAATGCATGTGGTTCAACATCTTTCTGTAAGATGTTGAACACTTTTTAGTAACACTGTAAATATCTAAAATGGTTTGGGTGATGTATAGGTAGGTGGTTTTCCTTAGGGGGTTTCCTGTTGCCTTGATGTCAAGTCTACAAGCTGAGTCAGAGACAGTATTTTTTTTCTCTTGCCATAGATGTGAGATAATATGAAAAACTGAGCAATGGTGCAAAATGTTGGAGTATCACAGAGTTTTCTTCAAAGGCATTTTAAATTGAGTGACTGACAGTTGATCTCAGTCATATTTAGTCACTGGAAATTTGATACGGATACTTGAACCAAATCGAT